GTAGTAGTAGTAGTAGTAGTAGTAGTAGTAGTAGTAGTAGTAGTAGTAGTAGTAGTTGTTGTTGTTGTTGTTGTTGCTGGTGTTGTTGTTGTTGTTCTTGTTGTTGTTGTTGCTGTTGTTGTTGTAGCTGTAGTTGTTGTAGTTGTAGTTGTAGTTGTTGTGTAGTTGCTGTTGTTGTTGTTGTTGTTGTAGTTGTAGTTGTAGTAGTAGTAGTAGTAGTTGTTGTTGTAGTTGTTGTTGTTGTTGCTGGTGTTGTTGTTGTTGCTGTTGTTGTTGTAGTAGTTGTTGTAGTTGTAGTTCTAGTTGTAGTTGTCGTGTAGTTGTTGTAGTTGTAGTTGTTGTAGTTGTTGTGGTTGGTGTTGTTGGTGTTGTTGTTGTTGTTGCTGTTGCTGTTGCCGTTGTCGTCGAAGTTAGGGTAGTTAAGTTAGTCAAGTTAGTTAAGTTAATCAATGTCTACTTTTTCGACATCTTCACGTCAAAAAAGGCTCAAAACCCTCAGTTTTTTACACTTTTGACTTCGAAATGTGCTTCGCGCCACAACGGCGTGCACTTTTTGGACACTTTTTCGACATCTCAACTTCCAAAAGTGGTCCGAGACCGCCAGTTTTTAACACTTTTGACTTGGAAATGTGCTTCGCGCCACAACGGCGTGCACTTTTTCGACATCGCAACTCCCAAAAGTGGTCCGAACGTGGTGTGTTTTGTACATTTTGACTTGGAAATGTGCTTCGCGCCACAACGGCATGCACTTTTTCGACATCGCAACTTCCAAAAGTGATCACAACGGCGTGCACTTTTTCGACATCGCAACTTCCAAAAGTCGTCCGATGCTGAGGTGTTTTGTACCTTTTGACTTGCAAATGTGCTTCTCGCCACAACGGCGTGCACTTTTTCATCGCTCCTGTGACCAGCTGGCTCCGCACCCGCCGCTTTAGCGAGCCTACTTTTCGACCCTCCTGAGCCACAAACCATTGGAAAAACACAGTGTTTCGCGACTTTCCTACCTTTTCGCGCATCTGTATCTTCTTTCTTCTGACGCTTTCTCTTCTCATCTTCTCTCTTCTAATCTTCCTCTCCTCTCTGCCTCTCCCCTACTCTGCTTTTCATCTGTCCATATTGTCGGAAGTTTGACTTCTAAACTTCCTTCGAATATAGTGGCCAACCATGGTGATTCATGGTGTTTTTATGGTTTTATATCATATCATAGCCATCATTCCGGAGGTTTCAATGGTTGTTTCTCAAAGCCTTGTCTGCTGTGGAACTTTGGGTGGTTTGTGTGTGTGTGTTATCATTATTATTATTGCTATCATTATTATTATTGCTATCATTATTATTATTATTAATTGGTTTTCCGACATATGAAGAACATCATGCTCAAAGTTTGTGTTTGTCGGTTTTATGCTAATATCAAGTGTTGAACAGAATTAGCAACACATATTTGTTGAATTTGATCCATCATCTATATGGAGAACTCTCTTGCAAATCTATGTTATTCCAATAGATTTCCAATAAATATGTTTCCCAACATGTCCCAGATTTTGACACAAGGGGTAGTTCCATTATGTTTGTTTCAATTGAGTTCCGAGATCTATTGTTCAAACATTTTCAATCCCAATCCTCAAGATTTCCAATGTAAAACCCCACCAGCTAGACAGCCAAGGGCACCCCCCAACCTAGGTCGCAACAGCCTGGAATGCCCTGGCCACTCCGTGCTGGGCGCCTGCGCTGAACATCGGCAGGGCGTAGCATGTAACAACTGCCCCTCGGCGATGCCGCGTAGACGCGGTGGGAGAGGTTTCTTCATGGAAAAAGGGTGGGAAAGATATGGGATATATATATAATTATATATTTACGCATATGTATATATATATACACATATATATATATTTAGATTTATGGGATCTAAGGATATCTAAGGATATAGCCTGACCAAGAGATGGACTTTATAATATGATCAATATGATTACATGATTTGGAGGCTTGGCGCAGTGGCTTTTCAGGCCGATCCTTGTGGAATGGTGCAGGCACAAGAAATATACCCGCTCTGCTCAAGGTTGCCATTTGTATACCTAAAGAGAACACAAAGAGGCATGCACACACACACATATATATATATATATAAATATACACATAAAGTGTACGTTTATTACTTGTATATTAAATACATATGTGCGTTCATACACACATGATAATACGCAAACCCAAATGGTTTTTATAACATGTGTGTATATATAATTTATCCGTCCAAACTTTTTACGCGCCAGGCAAGGAAAACTACTTCCCCAGGATGATGGCACATGCGCCCGCCACTCGCAGCACTTTCTGGGCGGGCTGAAGAAAGGTCCATGTTTTTTTTTTGAGTAGCGGGGTGATAGGGCCGAATGTTGATTAAATCCTGTTCACTGAATGGAGTGACTTGCAGGGATCAACTTGAGGTTTTGTTCAAAAAGCAGGGCGTATACACTGAATAGATTTAAGTACATCATATGCATCGAATAAAAAACGCGAACGCACACAGACACAGACATGGAGACAGAGGCAGAGGCAAGGCATAGACAACCAGACAAACGGACGGACAGACAGACAGAGAGAGAGAGAGAGAGAGATCTAGATAGATAGATAGATAGATAGATGGATGGATGGATGGATCGATAGATAGATAGGTGGATGGATAGATAGATAGATAGATGGATAGATAGATAGATAGAGAGATAGAATGGGATAGAACGAGATAGAGAGATATACAGCTAGTATACATATATGTTCAACCAGATCTGCTTTTCTTTGGGCATTGTCCAAAGGTTGTGGCCCCGTGGATTATTTGCCAGCCCTTCTGTGCGTCCTGGGCTGCTTGATCATGGTGACCCTGCTCCTCGGCTTCTGAAAAAGACATGCTTCACAGTGCTTCACCTCACATACCCAAAAGGATAGGAAAAACACGCCAGCTGACTAATCAAAATGGGGATTCAACATATTCAGCCACAATTGCAATTTAGCCCGCGGATTTGCAGTTTACACTCCAGTAAATCAAGAATATTAATGGTTTGATATAGAATAACCGTTGTTTTAGTAGGACATAATTACCATAGATGATGACCTTTCCACTTCTGTAGCTTACTGGAAGATATAATTCCGACCCAGCATTTAAACTCCCAGTTGCTTGATATATATATATATATATTTATTTGTTTATTCATTTTGTCATGACAATAAGGATGCCACTTCTAGTCATGTCTTAGCCATTGGAACTGTACTGAATGACTAATATTTTAGGAGCTGTCTCTTTTACTAAAGTGGTTTTGGACCATATGCGTCGTTAACACTGGCTTGGCAGCACTCACAGGTCTCGGCTTGGGTGGGTCCACGGACCAGTTTTTGGCCACAAATGGCAGGAGATGAAAGCACGCTAAGAATGAACAATCAGTAAGCTTGAATGTCTCGTAATGTTGCCATCCGATATTTTTGGATTAGCCATTGCATGGATCACATTTTGTTGATTTGCCTTGCAAGTCTCGATTACTGGGCCCAGGAAACTCAGCACAAGAATTGGGTGTCCTGGGCCTAGGATTTGCATCTTAAAAAGAGTTTATCAGACACTTCCTTGAGACTCACATCTGAGGCTAGTGAATTGCATCAAGTTGGATCTTCGGCTGCAAGTTGGATCGAAGGATGTTTCTTGTGGTGGTTTGCGCATTGGAGGTGTTGAGCTATCTTTCATACTGTGCAGTGCTCCCTGGCCCCTGGGTACTAGCCTGGCCGGTGTTTTTAAATATACAGCCAGCCCAGCTTCCACCTTTCTGATGTGAAACCCGTTTTCTGCCTGAGGGGTGTCCTGTTTAGGACTTGAACCAGCAGAGCTTGAACATGCTGACCGTGGCCGCGGTAGGCGGTCAAATGGTCATGGCACTTCAAACCCTGAGTTCTGTGAGGTGCCTCCGTGTGGGCGATGGTAGCTGAATGGATCTGGATGGCAATCTGGATGGTTCTAGCAGAAATTCTTGAGCCATAAACCATCCAGACTTGTTTACTCTGCTTCTTCAGGAAAAATATGGTATATTCTGGTCATGGTTTCATTTATGCTTGGCAATGTTGGAGGATTTTGGTGAATGGTTGGTCTCTGTGGTTTATTTCCCAGCCGCAAGTTGATACGCTACCTATCAAGGTTCCCAAGACTCAGAAGGATTGCAGGAAAACCAGCCATTGGAGGACATACTTAAAATTGAAGAAGGTGCAATGCTGCAAGGCCTTTTAAGCCTTTGGTTCTGTAATGTTCATGGTGTTTAAAATATCCAGTGCAGAGAATCTACCCCACGCTTGGATGTGACGCTTGAAACATCATTTTGTGAAGGATTTTCGGCTTGTGTGCAGTAATGGAGAGTCTTCTTTCAGGGATCAATCATGCATGGCCTGATTCTGAACAAAAAACAGCCGATCAATGGTTCTACTGCCATGCCAAGCCGAAATCCTTGAGAAGCTCTGGCAAAAATCTTCTTGGAGGAGGAGTCAGTTCCATTTGAATTCGTGTGGATTTCTGTTTGCAACCGCTGCTACCTCTCCTATGCTGTTCCTATCCGACTTTTTCCTGAGAATTTGGTTCATGACACCCCGATGGATTCTTGTCTTCAGGTATGATTTTCCATGTTTTTTCCATGATTTTCTCTGATTCGTTATTTTCTTCAGGCGATGCTGCCATGATTTTGCCTCTATTTTTCCGTGCCCAGAATCCCAGCAGGCAACTGTCCATTGAGTGGGTGCACCCCGTGCGCCAATTGATCGAGTTCACCAAAATTCTGACCTTTGCAACCCGACCTGCGTTGCTGTCAGGTGCTGCCCGTCAAGTATGGCAATCTTGCTGGGAAAAAATATGGAAAATGATGATTATAATGTAGAACAAACGTGAAATCATGATAATTAATAGTAGACAACATGGGAAATAGTAATGACATGGGACAATGACGATTGATAGACATGTTTGTTGGTGGTTTCTGACCCCCATGAACTGTTATTGGAGTGATGTTTGCTAACTTAGCTGATTCTGGAGCACGACCTTGGGCAGGTTTCACCATGGAAAGTCTGGAAGGTTTGCTGAGGTTTGATCGGTCAAGACCAGCTGTTTTTGAGACAGCCTGGAATGTATGTGTCTACAGGAGTGGGAGTGGATATCGATTTCGACAGAAACCGTGGGTTTTCAGCCAATTGTGATCCCATATGAATAGCATTTTTATCCTTGTTTTGGATGTTTATATTGAATTAAATTGATCTTCAGATTTGACACAGCTGCCAATAGATCACCAGGGATTTGGACTTGATCAAAATCAGTTGCTTCTTTGGCAGAGACAGTCCCACCTTGGTCTTTGCCCCTCGCCGATGGATTTGATGACTTCATTGGCCAAAGATCCCCTCCGTGATTAGACTAGTTGATGAGTTTGTGAACCCAACATGGTATGAAAAATCAGAGAAACAGGATAGGGACACGAAACCCTCCATGGGTTGGTGAAGTGATGATGGCTGTATGTCCATGAAAGTTAGAGGCTTAGGGGTGCTTTAAAAGTCCGTTGTAAGTTCATTCTGGCAGGCCCTGCAAAGCAGGGCATGCCCTACAAATGGGTAATTCACATGATAGTAACACTAACACCCGAAAAGAATGGAACAGATGGAACATATATGAACATCTTGGAAACTCGGTTAGTGATGGTTACTAGTAACTATTGAGTTAGACAAATTATCGGATTTCTTTGGGGGGAGTCACACATGGTTACCCTGCAACATGTTTCAACCATATTAATTGGTGCTCTTCAACATGTCTTTAATTAATCTTTCTATTTTGGGACGATCCCAACTGAAACCAGGTGGGGCAGCTTTTGGTGTGTCCAGTCGGCATTGCTTGTTTCCTCGTCTTCTTTCTGATCTCCCATTGGCGCGGCCGCAGGCTGTCGCTGGATTCTTGGTGAAAGCACCGGGCCTGGGGGCAACGATCACGAAAGAAATATGTGGACGATGATGGTGGTGGTGGTGGTGGTGGCGATGATGATGATGATGATGCTGATGATGATGCTGATGATGATGATGATGCTGATGCTGATGCTGATGGTGATGGTGCTGATGGTGGCGGCGGTGGCGGTGGCGATGGTGATGATGATGATGATGATGGTGGTGGTGGTGGTGATGGTGATGATGATGATGATGATGATGCTGATGGTGGTGGTGGTGGCGGTGGCGGTGGCGATGGTGGTGATGATGATGATGGTGATGATGATGGTGGTGTGGTGGCGATGATGATGATGATGGTGATGATGCTGATGCTGATGCTGATGCTGATGCTGATGCTGATGATACTGATGATGCTGATGATGCTGGATGGGGGGTGGTGGTGGTGGTGGTGGTGGCGGTGGCGATGGCGATGGTGATGATGATGATGATGGTGGTGGTGGTGGTGGTGGTGATGGTGGTGGTGGTGGTGGTGATGGTTATGATGATGATGGTGGTGGTGGTGACGGTGATGATGATGGTGGTGGTGGTGGTGATGGTGATGATGATGATGATGATGGTGGTGATGGTGATGATGATGGTGGTGGTGGTGATGATGCTGATGATGCTGATGATGGTGATGATGATGATGATGATGTTGATGATGTTGTTGATGATGTTGATGATGTTGATAAATAATCCAAATCTGAAAAAGTGATAATATAATTGTAGATTGATGTATTAAAATGTGTTTCAATGACAATCATTTCCGGCCCTTGCAAACGTGGCGCCTGCAGCTACCTGGTGAGGGAACGTCGTTGCCTTTCGCATACCCTCCGGTACCATTCATGGCAGTGGGGATTCCAGTCATAGACCATCTATAGATGACTGTCCAACCTAAATACTAAATACCCATTCACGGCATGTTCAATTGCCTAAGGTGGACTCCCCCACTAATATCTTCATGATTGGTCATCCCTAATCCCTTCCCCCTGTCAGCCATTAAGCACCCCACAGAAGCCTTGGTGGCTGTAGGTGATTTACACCTGGAATCAGTCGGTGTATTTGGAACCAGCTAGGGCTAAGGGGATGATTAATATGAGAGGGATGGGATTGTTTGACTTAGACCTGAGTAGGTGATTTGTTCATTCTCATTGGTAAATCAACCAGTGGGGGAATCTAATCTGCAAGGGCATGTTGCAAAAAAAGGATGCTTTCTTCAACCTCAGTGGCATCCTGATCTTCGCGCTCTTCATCTCTATTAGTCTGGTGGTGTTGGACCCCTTGCGCTGTCTGAAAAATCCGGATGGCTCTATGTCTATGGTGTCGAATCCTGGCTGAGATGGGATGTTTATTTTTCCATGTTCCGAAATGATTTGGAAATCCACCTGCACTTGGGGAATCGAACTTTGGGACAAAATGTTTCGGGGTCTTTGGTTGACTTCACGGATTTTCCCAAAGGGGACATCCACGCGGGGAATCAAATTTGGGATGATTTGTTTGGGATTTTTTGGGGGCCATGTAAAGCAAGTCCAAGGAATCCAGGCATTCTGTGCTTTGACTCAGGTCGGGCTTGGGGATTGGGATCTGGATCTTGTGGTGAGTCGGTATGCGCCAAATGGGTCGGGATATCACGATATGAAGGGCAGATGATCCATCCATTTCACGTGGTCAATAATTATTTGAATTGTGATCTTCACCAGAAAAGTGATGCAGTTTACCTGAAAGAGTGACCAACACCAACACTCCTATTTTTGTGATGTCAGTCATCCGCGCAGCTGCAGTGAAAATGACATGATACGTTTTCATAACGAATTTAACTTATTGCGATTTGTGAGCGAACTCCTTTTTTTTTCAAACCATAGGTCTGGGTGAGACCCGTTGGCACCACTACAGCAACTGTTCGTCCTATAGGTGATAAAACTGTCAAAAAGGATCTTCTCGGTTGAGAGCCCATGTTTTTATTTGTTCACGGTGTTCTCTGTTCTGTATTTGAAATGGTATATTGTGAAATTTTCTGCACCAGCGAACTCGCTGGGTTAAAACATATCAGTCCCACCTTTCCTTGGCTCACCTCTGCTCAAAACATGTTGTTTCTTACCTGGCCAAGAAACTCTGCAATTTGATGACCCCCCCATTTTCCTCCAATGAACTCATCATTTTTGGGTGACCCCTCCCTATTTTCCTTTTCCCGTGGAAGCTCTTGTAGGATGAATTCCTCATTTCGTTGTGTCTCAAAATAGTAGGGGACACCCAAATTCGATGGTTCAAGTCACTGGTGAATCGTCATTTTCCCTCTTCAAAATCTTCAAAGATTTGCTTTCCTCCAGTGTTTTCTCCATTTTCAGATGCATCGACTTGGGATCAAAAACGGATCCCAAAAACCCCACGTCATGTCACGGCCACATGGCGCGCCAGGTGAGCATACGGGCCTCGCTATCCTGGCATTCCTAGGGATTTTGGCATATCCCGTGGCGATCCTGACATGGGCACCTGGGATAAGCTGGCGATCCAGGGCCGTTGGGGATGAGGTAGCCATGGCCTCCAAGTAGCCATAGAAATTGGCAAATGTGCGGTAATGTTAGCTGTGATTTTGGGATTTTTAGCAATTTTCAGGGGGATTCGTAATCTGTCATAATCCGAGAATTTGCAACATGGATGCAAAATAATCTATAAATGGTGGGTTTTCCTTTACTACGTTTGATTGCCGGAGGGTATATGTCCGCCATATCATAGAATTTATTCATTCTATACCCACTGCTGCAATCTACTGCTAAAACCCTCAAGTTGGACTTGTTTGGGTTGGTTATGTCACGGCATGTTCTTGTATGAGCCCTCTTGATTGGTTCAACCGTACTTGTCGTTGACCAAATCCCCATTTTGCTTGTCAATCATGGTCAATCCATCTTGTTGCTTTGATGGCCATTTGGTGCTGTGATGTCTTAAGTTTTGGTCGGATAGGGCCCCGGTGCCTCATCTAAGGGTGCACCAATTCGACTGTTGATAGAAAGGTCATGGCAATTTGATTGCTGAAATAATGCCGTGTCTTGATGTGTTTTTTCCTGAAAAATGTTTCAGTAATTTTCGCTCCTGCTGCTGTACAACATGTTTGTTGCTTGAATTCCAGTCTGCAAATGGCTGCTTGTTTGTTCAATGTCTTAATTCATCCCAATGCTGAGTGAAACATATAAACAGTGTATATATATAATATATAGTTCATGCATTTCACCAAATCTATCGTTATCATTATGGCTTAAAGCACTTTGCGCCACGAATCTTCCATCTGCAGCTCTGGCCCTCATTTCGGCTCAGGCCACCTACACCACCTTGCGCTACCCTGCGCGTGTGGCGAGTGGCCGGGGCCTGCAGCTGGTGCAGCGCCACCGCTTCCTTTTCCAAAGGTTCAAGACAGAGCGGTATTACTATGGATCCTCGGCAGGACTGCGGCCTTAGGGGAAGTAACTAGAATTATAGTGTGTAGATGTGGGTAAAACAATGCCGTTAACCACCAATGACTCAATGACTGGGAATGGTGTAATAACCCACCTATATTTATATCATTTTATATCTATATTTATATATGTAAATAATATATGTATTATGGTGATGACTGGGGGGTGGTTTATGACATTGTTTTATCCACATTAGTAGAAATCACAATATATACTTCGTTTGTTTTTAAACAAGCTTCTCACGGGGGACAGCCCTGTTGGTTGATGAGTGGTTCCGGGGGATATGGGATCATAGGATCGGCCTTGAATCGATGAAGTGACTTTGGGCAATGGAAAAATATTGCTGACATGAACATGATTATGAACAGTGGTTCCTATGGATTCCCTATGAATTGTGTCATTCTCCATGGCGGGTCTCAAAAAGAGTTTCGACCCTTCGTTAGATGATTGCCTGCAACCCTTTGCTGTGCCATAAAATGAGCTTGGCCATCCAAACAGGAATCATCATCCCGGCGCCCCCTCAATTCTGATAGTTCTAAGACAATTTTTGCCCTTTGGTAATAGAACATGGCATTGGACACTCCCCTTTTCTAATAGAGGATTTCCCATTGAAACTCCATTCAGTTCAGGGATTTTCCAGCTAACCAGCTAACCATGTTTGATGATCCCTGCTGCCACCCAAACGGTTCTCCTTAGGAGCCTTGCTGCTATGGAGGAATTTGCTGGCTACTCTGCGCCCAACAATATGCCAATAGCAACGGGTGGTTCCTCAAAAATTGGATAGCCCCAAATCATCCCCAAAAGAAGACCATTTCAATCTTGAACACCCATGGGTAAGATGGGTCGGCCATTTTAAGAAAAACCATGAAAGAGCCAAAGGAGAAACTACCAGTTGATGTGGAAAAACCATTGGGAATTTGTCCTGTTTCACAACTATGCACTTCACGAATGAGCCGAAACTGGTCATTCGATGAGCGAATTGCATCGAATTGCTGGAGCTTACACATCCCCCATCCCACCATATCAATTTCATAAATTCTTGATGTAAAATTAAGATACATTATGGACCATGTATGGACCATGTGGGTCATTAAGCCAGATATTTTAGCTCAATTTAACATATTTTAATCGAAGCATATCGGAGCTAAACATTCCAGTCCCCCATATCAGGTGGCCGTTTTCCCCGTGATCTTTGGCTTCATCCCCGAGGTCCAGCTGCAGCACCTTGGAGGGAGCTTGGAGCACCCAAACATTGGGAGATGGATTTGTTTCTAAAAAAAGGGGAAACCATGGGAACACCCCCTAAATCCATCTTCTCATCATATGTTAAACTCAATTTCTGATTAAAACTGCCGTTTGAGGATATTACCCCGTACCCCATTTTCAAACACACCCAAATTGTGTTTTCTTGCTGGTGGAGGTGGTCTTGTCAAGCCCCGACTCTGCCAAGGGTCTTGGGCTTGCTATTGATTCTTTGCGGTGCTCTTCAAATTCGCATCTCGGTGATTTAATGGGATTTAACCAACAACACTGGGATATAAGATATTATGAGGATATGAGGATATTATGGGATTTTTTATAGGGTTTAGAAGCTTGCAGTTTTGGGGGTTTAAATGCCAATATGTTTTAGATGAACATCCGTAAATCATCATAAAGGGGTACAGGCTTCTGGGTTATGTTACCTACTATATCCTACTATCATAAATCACATATACCTTCTAGTTCACCTATTATAAATTCGTACCCCACAAATCATCCACCAATCGTCCATAAATCAACGAGTCCAGTCGACCCGTCGTCCAAGGCACGTGGCCCTGGCGTACGGATTTGGCCAACTATGTTGACCTAGTGAACTGTCGCAAAGGGTTGGTCCGTTGAACGGGATTCCATTGGGGAGATGTTGAACTTTTTTTTGGGTAAAACAATGCCATTTTTACCAGCCATGTTCCTGGGAATGGGATAACCATAGCACCTATAAAAATGGTGATGACTGGGGGATGGTTGATGATATTGTTGTACCCACATATTTTCTAATAATGTGGATTGAATGAGAATAATATATGACTAACCACGATGGGATATAACTTATGATATAACCGAAGGTAATGGAATGGGATGAACCGGATGGCTGTTGCCCAGAAAACGAGCCTTTCAGCCAAGGGTATGTTCAATAGCTATTGCAGCTATGTTCAATCACCAGAGGATAGACCTCATAAGACCAACAGGATGATATGATATCTCAAAGGGATGGGATTACCCTCCAGTAATTTGTTACATACCTATGGCACAAACTGCCAATTAATAGATGATTTAGTTCTGAACAGTGTTTTCTTTCATAGCACATTGTTCAATTACCAGAAGTAATAATATATATATACAGTTATACATACATTGAATATGAGTCGTTTCATTGGTTATTGAGGTATCTACTTGTTTAGTTTGTTTGATTATATATTTGTAAGTGCAATATGAACACAGGAAACGGTGTCGCTTTACAAGCTGAAATCGGTATCTATTCAACAAGCAAACATGGCAATTGTTTCACTGCTCCTTTATGGAAATTTCTGGGTGGTTTCCGCAGCAATCAAATGGATGGGGGTTCAGCTTGGTTAAGGACCAATGATTATGCAGTCAAAAAGAGTCTTTTTGGCAAGAACATCTACAAACATCTACAAACCAGGGTTCCCTTATACTTGGAAAACAAATCTCAGTTTCAGTTCAGGGGCCAGCAATGACAGACTTTCCCTTTCAGAAAGTTCAAGATGAAACATCCGGAGGTGAATCCACATAATCCCCTGAATAGGGGATCAGTAGGGGGTTGCACATCTTTGGGACCAGGCAGTGGGTGTGTTTAACATCAGCAGAAGGGGATTATGTCTCCAGATCCCAAGTTTGATTCCTTAAATCCCATTCAATCTCATTAGATGCCCTTAAATTTCCATCAAATCCCATTCAATCTCTATTGAACCCAATCAAATCCAATCAAATCCCAGTATATCCTCATCAAATTCCCATTCACACCCATTAGATATCTTTAAATCCCATGAGATTACCATGAAATCATTTACCAACCAAAATCACCATGAAATCCCATGGAAATGTCCAGTTCTTGGAATTCTGAGGTCATCGCTTCCATCCTTCAGGTGGTTTTGTTGGGTGTGGCGCCCATGGTGAGGAACGATGAGGCCAAGTCCACCAAGGCCTCACCGGAGGTTTCATAGTCATGGGCCTACCATGGGCTACCCAAATAGCCGGAGTAGTGGAAAACCCCAAAAGATTCCTATGTGATTTACCATATTCTGGGATTTTCCACTTAGAATTATATAGTGATTATAGATGATTAATAGTGATTAATTAATAGTGATTATATAGTGATTATATGACTATATAGCTGGATGATTTTTAGTGATATTATATGTGATTATAGCTGGATGATCCTCCATAGTGATGAAATATGTGACTTTTTTTCAACAATCCATCATAGTGGGATTATCATATAGAATCACTATAATCACTATATATATATTAATATGATCAAAATATCCTCCATAGTGCTTGTATGTGACTATAACCCATACTGACTATATGAAGGTTTCTTAAAATGGAGGTACCCCAATAGCTGGATGGTTTAGTTCATGAAAAATCCGAAAATCAAATGGATGATGAATGGGGGTGTTTCCCTATTTTAGGAAACAACCCAAAGGGGGATATACCCTTTGGCAAAGATACCACAAGATTTCCATCAATTTTTGATACTTAGGTGATATCACAAGATGTAGGTAAATCATGGTAAATCATCCAAGAGCTATGTTAGGTTACTGGAGGGTATGGGGATAAAATAGGGATATAGCCAGCAAACTTGCACTCGTAGATAAACAAATACATGCTGGATCCATGTTTCGGAACATCTTTTATTTTTGGTGAGTAATTACCTAAAACTTGGTGAAGACAATGAATGAAAACTAAGATTGAAAGCCTTATTTTTGGCTGGATATAATATATAGTAATATATATATATATAATATAGACCCGTCATTATCCGTGATGAAGCAACTTGGTTGGTCAATCAAACGCAGTGCGAGCCTCAGGGCTAATCTGATCAGACTCGCAAGATATGGCTGGCATTTTTCACCTCACCAAGGTTTTATCACAGCTTGCGGTTGTTGCGGTCGTTGCGGTCGTTGCGGTTGTGCTTGTTGTGGTTGCTGTAGTTGTTGTGGTTGTTGTTGTTGCGGGGTGGCCTGATGTTTCTTGATTGCACAGCGACACGTATCCAGCCCCACTGCCTCAGGCCTTGGGATATGTCTTGGCCATCTCAGTGTTGAGTCCATTGCTGACTGGCCACCTGCCTGAGCCAAGAACATCCCCCACGTGCAAGGCAGCAAACAAACGGCCTTTCAACATTTTATCCAATCCCCTTCCAAAGTTTTGCAAGAAATGTCAAACAAACAACTGCCACAAAATACAAAACTCGTGCGATTCCGAGGACTTGCGGCCATCTTCTACTCGTGCCTACGCCATTTTCGCCCAGAGAAATCCTTCGGAATTTTCCTTTGCCACCACAAGGGGGGCGCAGGAAGCCTGTGTCGATTACTCAAGTTGCTGGGCTGCTGGGGATGTTGGGATGCTGGGGTCCTTGGTTGGTGAGTTGGTGAGTCTTGGACATTGTCGTTGTGATCCGGTGAGAGAGATAATGGGTGCCCCTTACATTGAACAATCTACAGACGAGATTGGGAAATGAACATGATGATGATGATGATGATGATGATGGTGGTCATGGTCATGGTGATGGTCATGGTCATGGTGATGGTGATGGTGGCGATGGTCATGGCGATGGTCATGGTGATGGTGGCGAAGGTCATGGTCATGGTCATGGTGATGGTGGCGATGGTCATGGTGATGGTGGCGATGGTCATGGTGATGGTGGCGATGGTCATGGTGATGGTCATGGTGATGGTCATGGTGATGGTCATGGTGATGGTCATGGTGATGGTCATGGTGATGGTGGTGATGGTGGCGATGGTCATGGTCATGGTGATGGTGGCGATGGTCATGGCGATGGTCATGGTGATGGTGGCGATGGTCATGGTGATGGTGGCGGTGGTCATGGTGATGGTCATGGTCATGGTGGCGATGGTCATGGCGATGGTCATGGTGATGGTCATGGTGATGGTGATGGTCATGGTGGTGATGGTGGTGGTGCTGGTGCTTGCGACGCTGATGATGATGCTGCTGCTGATGATGATGATGGTGATGGCAATGGTGATGGTCATGGTCATTGTCATGGTCCTGGTGTTTGATGAGGATGAAGATGAAGATGACGATGATGATGGATTTGGTTGCGTCAACTACTTCGATGTAAACCTTTGTGGACAGGTTGGTGGTGGCCAAACACAGCAAAACGGAAGTCTTTTTGGACTCTGATCAGTTGGAAGATTTGGATCTCATTTTCGCCCCTCGGCCCGTCATGGTGTGGGTGCACCCTCAAGAAATCCCCAGGATATTCGAGAAAATCAGAGGGTTCAATTCTCAAGTTTGAATGAGTAAGTTTCCCAAGTTGGTTTCTTTGGAGCTTGATGATGGTTAAAGGGCTCACAAGAAGTTGAATGAACTTGTGATTTGGGGCTAGGGGTGACCACGTTACGAGCTACTACTGAATCCCATGATGGCCAGGACGTATTAGGGCAATTCGGTGTTTTGAGCTATCTCAGTATGGTGATATCATCAGGCTCTGGAAGGGGAGCGGATACCCAGGATCATGAGCAATAAGAATCATTAATATCATCAATGTTGCAACAGTTGCAACCTCCATGACGTTCGACATTGTTCTTTTCACGTACCTTCAAAGAAACCATGTGTGACAGAGTGCTACTTGCGCAGCACAGCTGGAAAGCTAATCAAATGGCAAAGGGCCACACGCAGTCGCAGGATCCGAGTTTGACATTTGATCATGTTACAGACAGTTTTTCTGCAGATGGAGGCTTTTCCCAACTGCAGACATGTTATGTTTGCTATATGTTTTTCCCTAAGTACGTGCAAATTTAAAACCAGGTGGGAAGAGCAAACTGAGCAAACAAACTTTTGTTTTGAATAGATTTTGCGCAAATTTGATGGTTTTCCTCCAGATCTTTCTCCTCTAGGATACCATCCGCGTCAAGACCAAAAGTGTGGTGGTGGTGCTGACATCTGACTTACTGAAGCGAATGTGGTGTGCTGGTGTCACTCGGCTAAGTTCCAGGAGGTGGCTGTCCGAATATGCCTGGGATGGGGGTGACATCACGATTCAGATGATGGGGTCGTTTTAAAGATGCCATCAGAAATTGAAATCAACTGAATGGGGAAATGGCGAGAAACCATGAGGTAGGGTGGGGTTCCAAGTATATATTTGAGACAACGATGACAACGCCTTGTTTTGTTCCCTTTGCGGAGAATGATGTGTTTTTTTCTGCGTTGAAACCGCCCAGCAGGCCCATTATTCGAGATGGATGGCCATGTTAATTCACGTTCAACCGCGCTCCCCTAAGACTATACCAATCTATACCAATCTAGCACTACAGAAAGTTCTCCATGCATAATTATATACAAATGAATTATAGTTGTTCCATTCAAAATGGGGTGCGGAAATGCCAATTTCCTCAGGTTGATTCACGCTGGAGGGTTCCACCAGTTCCCAATTACATGTTCCCAGGTTTTGTGCAATTGTGGATGAATTTAGTGAGCTAAATGCCTAAATATTCCCATTTTGAATGGTTAAGTTATGTTAAGTTAAGTAGTTAAGTTCCCCCCCTTTTCTGGATAAACAACTTAAACTATGTCCATCTTTGAATGGTATGAGGTGCCACTGTTTTGCCGGGTAAGATCGCACTTTTTGGCAGGGTTCAACTGTTCAACCTTCAAAATTTCGCTGCACGAGCAGGAAATTGTGACAGCCCACAAGAATCGCGTGCGCACCGTGCCCTTGATCTGCGATGGCTATGAGCCCTTGAAATTGACCACGAAGGATGAGGACGGCGAATGCTTTTTGGTTTCTCTGAGTTTCTCCTCCATATCTTTGTGTGGCGAAAGCACCAAGAGCTCAATGTGGGAAACCCCAAACCATACACTGCAATACACCGTGCCGAATGACTTACTATAAGAATCAGATGGGTAATAAATATCATCCCCAAATGGTAGTTGTTTTGAACACAAAATGCAGATGAACATGGGGATAGCTAGCATCCCAGGATCTATTTTTAACCGTCAATGTTTGGGTCTAAGCCCCCCCAGCCCCCCAAAGAACATTTACTGTAACACTAGGTGGCAAACAACAAACGCAGTGGGACAAAACATGATGAAACAGCAACGATGGTAATTATGCTGCGTATGGTGTTATCCTGAGAATTTCTGCCATTGGCAAATAAAAGGATTGACTGATGATGATCACCTTCACGGCATGAGGCCCTCATTGTTTTGATTCCAATTCGATTTGTAATGCCATGTTCCATCAAAACATGAGTTTTGACGCAAGTGATTCACACGTGTGTTACTTCAATTAAGTCTGTTCTTTGATCCCGAACATTGGATGATATGACAAGCAGGGTTTGTTGAACATGTGGAGTGACATAATTATCCTATCCAATGATTTAAGATCTCATCTCCGCCATTCCCATATGCTTGTGATATAATATGGTATATGACCCCATAAAACTGGGTAAGTCCCTTTTGCTTGAAGAATTATCCAGCATCAGTATGGGCTAACATTTATGTTAAAATGTTAAAAAACTGGAAACCAGAGGAGATCGAAACCTTTTGGACAGTGCAGCAGAAGCAGATCTTGGCCTATCATGGTATCAGCATGTCAGATGTGCACTCCGCCGCTGGCTGAGCGAAGAGCAAAACATTTTTGTTGCTTCGGGATACCTCAAAATTTTGGCTGATCATCGCTTGTTTTATTGAGATGAGCAATCGTGGGTCAGTGCATCACCAAAGGTGTCTTATATATATATATATTTAATATATGTGATGTATAATAGAGAATGTATATCTAATGTTCAGAATACATGATATATTTTTTTTTATGTATATGTATATTTAATTACATATATACTTGATATACAATAGAATCTAGTATAATAGACAGTACATATATTATAATATAATATAATATGCACCCCCCTTTTTCAGACAGACCCACATTGACATTGATTTCTTATGATTTCTTCTGTTTACCCATTGATATATATATATACCATTATATCTATCTATATTCCAGAAACATTGTCTTGGCCTATCAACAAATCGATATACGATAATTAACGCATATATAATGTAGCATGTAGCTATGAATGGATTAAAGCTGGGAAATGTTTTATGATCATAGAACTCAATGGTGGATTTTCACGGATTTTCCATTGCCATGCCGCCATGCCTGATTACCAGAGGGTATGATGGGGGATAATGGGGAATGAACCATTAAGAACTGGAATCTTACCAATTGATCTACAGTTATCGTCCTTGATACCAACACCTCTGATAATTAACGTAAATCATCGTTAAGTTCACTAGCCATGGGCCATCATGGGCCCCAGGCTGTTGCTGCTTACCCAACCATGAAATCATGGTGGCTTGAGACTTGCCCAAGGCTTACCTCTGGCTCCGGGACGCACTTGAGCCGCTTCACTTGGCGCGCTTTGGCACGCCCAGTAAGCGCGAGGAGGTGGCGCAGAACAGATGGGTTTCGTCTGAAAATATGGGGAAAACCATGGGGAAAACGCAGAGAGAGAGAGAGATCATGTTGATAATCATTTTTCGTATCAAGATTGCTGAAAATCAGGTAAGCCCAAATTTTTAGACACACCTATATATATATAGTTTAAAAGATACATATCCATATCCATTCCTATACATTTGTACATATATTACCTTGAGTGGGTTGAACGTAGTGATTGACACGATGATTTAACATGCCGTGCTCTGTAGCCTTTCCTCTCAAGGAGTCACCCCCACCCTTGGCAAGGGTGGGGTGAAATGTGATGACCGGTTGGTTCAAAGCCGGTTCAAGCAGGGGTTCACCACCTGTGGTAGCGCCAGGTGAGACTCTAGAGCTACAGGTCTACGATGATGCAGGCAATCTCAGGAAGATCCTGGCCAGGCCCAAAAGCGGGGTGATCCTGGAGGCAATGTTCCTCGCGGCTGCCGACCTCTACTACCACTGGTGGATGAACGACAGTGGAGATGCCCCCTCTAAGGATGAAGGCATTTACCACTTGTGTGGGACATCAACAAAAGATTGTCCTCCCATCAGCAAGTACCCCACAATGGTCCATGGTGACCGGTACCGGAATTTGGGCACACAGGTGCTCTCTTCAAAGCAGGTGCCGTGGCTCCAAGATAAGGCTATCTATGACGGGTACATGTTCAGCCTTGGGAAGTTTGACGCGTACCTGAAGTCTGTAAGGGGGCGCCAAAGCCTCTGGCTGATGCAGAGTGGGAAGATGATCGTCACCCCTCTGGAGAGGGTGAAGGAGAACCAGGGTCTTCTTAGTTCCGCTTAGCAGAATTGAAAAATTCTTTTGAGGATTTTTTTTTGTTTCTTGCAGACCTGTACGAGAAAAAACTTTTGTGCTTCAAAACGAGTTTCCAAAATATCTGTATCATACTTGGTTCCATATGACAATGGTGTGAAAACAGAATTTTAAGTTATATCGATTTAAAATGTTGATGATGACTGAACCATCTAGCCAGGTGACTTGGTGATTCGAACTCAATTACTATTGCATATTGTCATGTAACTTTACCCCAAGCCAGGTTTCAACGAGAAAAGGCACAAGCTTGCACGAGATTCTAAAATAAGTCTTCTTGGTCTGGCGCCGCTGCTTTTTTCAACCCTAGCGCAGGCTCCATGTCTGGAACTTGACTTAATGAATTAAACTCTTTGGCCGAGGCAGCCAATAGAATAACTGCAGCTTAATTTGGCCAAGCCTTTGGGCCCTGAGGCCGAGGCAGCCTTTAGGGCAATCCTTCTTCATCTGATGTTTGGACGTCATTATTTTCAGTAAACCACCGCATGCCTTTGCGCCGGATCATCTCTTGGCGAAGCTTGAAAGCCAACTTCCAAACCTTTCGCGATCGACACTTTTTCAAATAGTTGTATTTGTTCATGAGCAAAAGGGGTGGCATCTTAGTCAACAAATGGTTCTGGACTTGGCGCATAGGCTTCGTCGTCTTCGTAAGGACAGGAGCTGCTGGCTTCTTTTGCTTTGGCGCTGGCATGGCGAACATGGACGATTGACAAAGGGTTATATATAATATAGTTACTTTGCTTTAGTCCGAACACAGCTGCGGAAATCCCAGATTTGACCCTTTTGATTCTTGCGTGTGATTGTCTGTGTGTGTGTGCGTGCATGCATGCGTGAGGTAGCTGCTGAAGCGAAGCACGTGCAGGAAACCTTTTTACTCCCGCTCTCACGCTGTCAAAATTGCGGCAACCCATGGCCGTGTCAGCCATAATGACGGAACTCCTGGCCGCGTCAGCCAGTGAAATTTTGAAGTCTTGGCCGCGTCAGCCAATGTTTTCTTCGCCGTCATTCAGTGGATCCCAAATGGCTTCTTCTTCCTGCTCCTGCTCCTCTTGGTCCTCGTCGGCGTCCTCGTCTTCGCAGCCGCCCGCATCCTCCTGGTCCATTTCAGCGGCCTTCCTTTTCTGTCCTTTTGCCTTTCCTTTTGCTTTTGCTTTTCCTTTGGATTTTGGTTTTGGCTTTCCCTTTGGTTTTGGCTTGGGCTTCGGAGTCGCATTCGAATTCTGCGGGCTGGCCGAGTCAGCCGCGCCGCCTTTCAGTGCCTTTGAGTACGCGATGCTGTAGAGGGGGCTGTTGGAGTCCAGCATTTCCTTCTCCACCAGCTGCAACAAGCGCTCTTCCATTTTCTCCGCATGGAATTGGCTGAAGGCCAACCCAACGTAGCCGACTCTGTTGCGCAAGCATGCAAACGCAAACTTGGCATCGCTTGGGGTCAAATCCAAGACCATCTTTGCAAAAAATGTATGAAGGTATTCTTCATATAATTCCAAGGGCGAACCCCAGAAGCAAAAGGGTTCCTGCTTGTTCTTCAATCTGTCGACCTGCTTCGGCTCATCTTTCGCCTCTTCCGTCTTGCCTCCCACGGCAATGACATGGCGCTTGGTCAGCATCTCCTTTTTGTCCTTCCATTCAACGGCCCATTCCGATGCCAATGCAGGCAGGGCGACGCCACTGATGACATCACCAGCTGAGGTGCCTGGGTAATGCTTGCGGTCCCGGCACGGAAGCTTCAGGCGGTGGTTGGCCAGAATGTAGGCTGTTTCAAGCTGCTTCAAGGTGAAAGATCCTTTGATTCTTCTTTTACGTTGGGCAAGGGATTCTTCCGTGTACTGGAGGCTGATTGTGTCGACAGTGAGAGTTGGCTTGCCGTCGTCATCATCTTCCTCATCTTCTGCCTCGTCGTCATCATCTTCTCCTTTTTTATTGCCCTCTTTGGTTGTGCCTTCTTTCCATGGATTCAGAATTTTGCTTTTCAAGCCTGGCTTGCCAGCATCGAGCAGCAATGCCACATCACCACTTTGCAAGGTTGGCGAAGCTTCCTCTGCGGCCCTGGCTTGGAGCAAGCACCGCACCAGCCGCTGGTACAGAGCTTCTCGCAAAGGTGGCGTGCGGAGGTCAGGTCTTTGTCGAAGACTCGCCAAAGCGTTTTGCATCGAAGTGGAAGAGCACCGTGCCTGTAGGGTCGCCTCGTAAAACTGCGAAGGGGCAGTCTTTCAGAGCAGTGACTAGCTCCTGTTCTGTCTTCTTATCTGGGACAAACCGCACATGAGTTCTCAGAAGTTTCAGCATGTGCTGTCTCCATTGTTGTTTCTCTTCTTCTGGCATGCCTGACGACGAATCAGGACCAGCCGTTTCAGCTGGTTCCTCCTGAATGTCGTCGTCGACGTCGTCAAAGCCTTCGGCATTGTCAGCCGCAGCCGAAGCAGCTGAAGGCTGTTTCTCCGGTTCTGCCTCTTGGCGGGCAAGTTTCTCCACTTCTTTGACTTCTTGCGCAATAGAAGGGTAAGCCATGAAGTCTTCTACTTGGGATTTGGTTTTGACACAGTCCCGGAAACGGCCATCAAAGCTGTCGCTGTAGATCAGCTTGTCTATGCAGTCGCAAAATGCGGTCACAGATTCAGGACAACCAAGCAACCAAGCCGAATCAGCTTGCGCGTTTTGGTATGGGGCATAAAAAGACCTGAATGCCTTGAAGTCTTTCATTTTTTCCCGGAGCTCTTTTGTCCAAGAAGATGGCAGGGACAGCTTTGTCAAAAACTCTCCCAGGAGGAATTTGCAGACTTGTTTTTTCAACTTGAGGACTTCCACATAGGAAGAGCGATAATCACGGATTCTCGATGGAGAGAAGTCATTCAGAGTCAGGTAACCCATGCAGTAACCATCCATCATACCCTCAAGTGCGTAGGCAATGTTGTCACTGGACTGGGCTCGATCAAGAAGGCCTTGCAAACTGTAGATTGATTTGTTCCACGGATTGGTTGTTCCTAGGAAAATCATATCGGCTTCTTCCAAGATTTTTTGGCAACGAGGCACGGAAAAGATTCTCTTGAAGATCGTGCAGGCACAGTCAATAAAGGTTTCAGACAAGGCTTCTTGCCCGCTGGCGAGTTTCACATGTTGGCTGTACAGACTTGCTACTTTCTTAGCCGCCAGCTGTGTTCCTGAGCTATCTTCTTTTGCCTTCTTGAATCCTGCCACGTCAAAGATCCGTTGTCGTAAAGATAGCCGGACAGATTGGCCAAGTTCGACGGCCTTTTCTCTCAAGTTGACTGCCTTCCAGTAGCGCATCTCTCCGTCTGGAATCGCGAAGAATTCAAAATCGACGGTGAGAAGCACACGCCGCCAATTCTTCAAAATGGCTTCGTCTCCTTTCGTCACAGCTTCGCAGATGCTAAACAGCAATGCAAAAACTGGCTCGGCCGGGCTCAGCCGATGCCAGTGTCCATCTGGTGTGAGGGAAGCATCATCTACAGCGTCCACTGCGACTGTGACCACATACGGAAAGTTGGGTGGAGGATCCAACGGAGGAAGACTGAAAGACTGAATTTGTTTGATTTGGCCTTCATTCAGAGGGATCCTGTGCTCTGCAAGCCAAACCAAATTGTGCCAAAACAAATTGCCTCCACATTTGTATCCGCTGTTGTTGCCTTGCTCCAAAGCTTTCAATGCCATCTTTTGGTCAAAGGGCATTTGACGGCCGCCTTGAGCAATGGTCAGGGGCTTGGCGGTGCCAATGGCATCAAAAACCGGGTGGTTGCTGATTTCTTTGATTGCCTCATGCACTCGGGTCAGCAAACCGGAATGAAATTCATTTCCTTGGGCTATGTCTTCCTGGTCGTTCTTGACAGGCACCGCCGCAGCTGCCTTCGCTTTCACTTTGCCTTTACTTTTCGCCATGAATTTTTGGAAAAGGCCGGAGCAGCCAAATGGGTACTGGCCGAAACAGCCAGGCACCTAAGATTTAAATTTGCAGGGAATGAGCCAAGAAACAGCTGCGGATTGTAGTTTGATTGTCCGTTAATGCCCAAACTGTTTGAGTTGATTACCAAACTTTGGCGATCCTTTTTACTTGCTTGTGTCAACTTTAGACTTTATGTCGTTGAAAAAACAACTTACTTCCCCATTTAATCTCCCCAGATCGGACCAAGACACCTGTCCGTGCCATTTTTTTTGCCTTTCCATTGTCGTCGCGTTCAGTCACTCACCTGGCCGAAGCAGCCAGTGACGACGGCCAGTCACTCAGCCGGGTCAGCCATACTGCTGTGGGTCCTGGCCGAAGCAGCCAGTGACGAAGGCCAGTCACACGGCCGGGTCAGCCATGGTGCTGTGGGCAATTCGACGACATGCAGCACCTCCTGCAACAGATGGAAGGGCAATATGCGCCCGGCTGATTTTTCCCACATTGGGAACAGCTTATTGCCGGGGTCACACGATGCGCCTGATTCGGCTGCCCTCCTGCACGATGCCGTTCGGCACGCTTCAGCTTCGCTTGCGTCCATCCCGAATCCGGCCGTCGGTTCTGCCATACTTGGGCCGCCGCACCCACCGCCGGCCCGGCCGCAGCAGCCGGTGCCGGCGTTGCAGGCTGGGTGGCTTGCGGTGCGGCCGGGTAGTACTGCTGCTGGTAGTACCACCCAGCGGCGGCTTGTTGCCACTGCAGCTGCTTCACCTGATTTTGCAAGTCTTTGATCTTCTCGTCAGTGGAAGTGCTTCGGCGGCGGTGAGGCCTGCTGGCCGTTTTTTTGGAGGAACTTCGTCGAATTTTTTTGGCATCGCTTTCCGTGTCCTCCTCCTGCTCCTCCTCTTCTTCCGCCGAAGAACTGCTTTTGTCTTCGCAGTTGTCACCGTCGTCGTCGTCGTCGTCGTCGTCGGCCTGCTCGCCGTAGTCCGGCTCTTCCTTCATTGCGGATTGTTTTGGTGGTCTCGACGGTGGCGGCGGTTCATCCTCATGTTTCATTTTGTCTGGTTTTTTGGCAGCAGACTTGCGGTACAAAAAGACGACGTTGTCTGTAGGCGGCGGACGCTGGTCGTCGTTGGTGTCGTCGTCGTTGTGGCCGGACGATGCAGCACTTTTTGCGACCCATTTGGTCGACGAGGCCGATGCAGCCTCAGATGACCGGACCTTTCTTTTTGCATTCAATGGTTGCCAGCTTCGGGCGTCATTGATGGCCTTCAACCTTCGCAGGAGTTCTGCTCGCACTGACTCATCATGAGGTTTGTGCGGAGGGCCTTGTTCTACAAGCCATTCCCAAACCGTTCCGTTCGGGTAGACCTCCAGCAAGCAGGCAAGGTCTCTGTGGCTGAGGAGGCAGTGCACATTTTAATTTTCTAGTTTTGTCGATCGGCGCCCCCGAACAGGACAGCTGTCTGCAGGCTTTTAAAGCTTCCGGCCATCATGCTCTGCAAGCAATCCAGCCTGTCGTCGACGACCACGGTTGCATTGGAGCGGCGCGCGTAGTATCCTTTGTTGCTCCCATGATCCGTCAAGAAGACCTGGTCAGAGGACAGCCCGAGAGACATCGCATGTCTGGTGACCCAATGCTGCTCTTTTTTTGGAATCCAATTCACCTTTGAAATGATTCTCACAGCATCTTCGCCATATGCAGCCTGCCACAAAAGCAGGAAAGACCATGCTCCTTCCATCGTCGCCTTGTAGATGTCCTCGCCTTCGTACTTGACCGTCCCATACTTGGTTAAGACACCACCGCAGTCGATACAAAGCATGGGTGCCCAGTTTGACTCCATGGGGCTTGTCATACCTCCAGACCGAACCAGTCTGTGAGGTATATTCCAGGCCGAAACAGCCTGTGATTGCAGGCCAAGTCGGCCTGGGACGTTTCAAGGTTTAAGCCGAAACAGCTTATTACCTTTATGAAAAGCCTGTGAGCCGAAAACCACGAGAAACGACTTGAGTGAGGCTTCTAAGGAGAGGGCTAACAGTCCTCTCCATAGACGCCGCACTGACAGCAGCGAAGTGTGTAAGGAGAGGGCTGTGAGAGGACTATCCGAAAAATGCTGTTTTGCTCTAAGGAATTTTTTCAATAGTCCTCTCACAGCCCTCTTCTTACACAGCTCACTGACAGCAGCGCGGCGTGTAAGGAGAGGACTAACAGTCCTCTCCTTACACCACCGTTTTTGTAAATTCAAGGACAGCAGCGAATTACAAAATTTTGTTTTTGAGGGTTCGTTCTGCCGAACGGAATTTTTTTCGAATATTCAAGGGCAGCAGCGAATTACAAAATTTCGTTTTTGAAGGTTCGTTCTGCCGAACAGAATTTTTTTCGAATTCATTCAAGGACAGCAGCGAATTAAAAAAGTAATGGTTTTTGAGGGTTCGTTCTGCCGAACGGAATTTTCCAATCAAAGACAGCAGTGAATTACAAATTTATTTTCAATTCATTTCTTTGTCACCAAGGATTGCTTTGAATTATTGCTTTGAATTTTCTGAACGTTTTTTTGACATTTTCAAAAATGTTCAAACTGCCGTATCCTTAACGACGACCAGTCGAATGGCAAATTTCAAAAAAAAAAGACGGACAAAATTCTAATGACGACGAGACTTTCTCCATTTTCAGAAATAAATGTCTCAGACATTCCTGTGCATATTTTTTGGGGGGGCAACCCTGCATCATTTGGCCGAAGCAGCCAAAGAATCGTAAAAAACAGCACATCATTTGGCGTTGACACGACTGGAACTTTCAAGGAACAAGGAACTTCGCTCTGCTAAGTGAAATCTCCAAGACAGCCAGGAAAAGCCAGTCATAAAATTGGATCCTTGAAGCGCCTTTTTTTCACGCGGCCCCATGTCAAGCGTGACGATGAATTAGAGGTTGGCCGAAGCAGCCAAGCTGGCCGATGCAGCCAGTCCAGCTGAAACCCACTAGCAAGGAAATGTTTTTTTCTCGCTGATCAAGCCTGCGGCAAACATGGCTTCCTGCATGATTTCTCCTATCAGTGGCACAGGAACACTATTGCCTATCATTTTACAAAGGTCTTTCTCCGACACATAGTCAAAACAAGCTTCTACCTCTTGTGGAAGCATTCCGTTGACACGGACAATTTCAGTCACGGACATCTTTCGCCCCAACGTACTGAGCCAGAAACCTCCTGTCGCTGCTCGTGTTCGGCTCAATGTACGGCATATATCGACTCCAAAAGTCAAATACTTTTCTGTGCAGCCCACATCTACAGCAACGAGTTCCTGTCTTGCGTCGATTCCTTTGGCCCAGAGTTTGCGGTAAGCAAGCTTTGCCATGCGGGCAGCATTCTTGTTTATTGGCAGCTTGCCAGCTTTGTCACTTTTCTTTCGCGGGTCGAGTACTGAAGACAAACTCCTTTTGCCTTGTCCTTTGGGCTATTTAAACTTTCTGCGCAAGCTTGTCTTCAAAATGGCAACCAGGAAGACCCGTCGACGCATTTGTGGCACTTTGAAATTTGAGCTGTCCAGAGTCTTGAGCCACATGACGTATCCCAATTTCTTCAAAGCCTTGTGCATTCCGCAAAGCACAGGTTTGTGCTTTTTTTCCAAGATGCCTGGAACGTTCTCAAATAGCACCACGCGAGGGCGCCGTCTTTTGATGTAACCAAAAGAAGCCTTCATGGCGCGACCGCGCGCGTCTTGGATCCCTGCGCGTTTTCCTTGGCAGCTAAATGATTGACAAGGAGGCGTGAAGATATAGAGATGAACAGGTAGCTCTTCTCCAGGTTTGCGCTTGATCACGTCATCATGGAAACGCTTGGGTCTATGGATGCCTTGAATCACTGCCTTGCACTTTTCATCACTGTCGCTGCAGAATTGCAATTCCACAGGCAAGTCCAATCGTTGTAAAGCAAACCAAGCACTATCCAAACCAGAAAAATCACTTCCAACCAAAATTTTCCTTGGTGTTCGGAAACTGGCAAGCTCTTCGGCCATTGCTTTTATATGGCCGAAGCAGCCAAACAGCCGAGACAGCTATATGGCCGAAGCAGCCAAACAGCCGAGACAGCTATATGGCCGAAGCAGCCAAGACCGCCGAGACAGCCGAGACAGCCGACCCCAGAAACAGTGTCTCAGACCCTGGAGCCAATGACGGCGACTTGAACCATAAACCTGAAAAGACAAGAAAATGCGTAATTAACAACATTAATATAGTAAACAGTTATTAGACAGTATCATTTAATATAATAGCAGTGTCCACTGGGTGGAACTTGATCGACGGGCGTTTTGCTTGCGCAATTGCGTTCTGGATTTCATTTAAAAAAGCGGAAGTCTAGATAGGCACCCGAACCGCTGCAAAGGAATTCTATTTTATTCGTGAGAAGCTGTCTGGCACGCGCATATCATCCGGTGAAGTGATTGTCCGGAGCAGACAAATCACTAAATTATATGCATGACTGTGTCCGAGACAGAAGTTACACTAAGCCAAAGCAGCCAAAAAGGGAGTCAAGCATCTCTCTGCAATCAGAAGTACAGCATGCAAGAAGCAGAGTGTCATTTCAACAGCGCTGGTATGTCAAGGTGCAGTTGACAATCCATTCACAGATTTCAATGCATCCACACGCCGGATTCTTGCCAAGAAGCTGTGAATTGTATATACATTTTTGGCACCTGAAAAAATTTTGTCTTTGGCTTCGTCGACCGTGACCATGATAAATGCCACGCCAGGCTTGAATCGACCTTGTTGCTCACGCAAGTTGCCCAAGTCCACCGAATGCAAGACCCACGCATGTCCCAGTGGCAGTGCTTTACGCAGGAAAGTCCAAAAGTCTGCATCTTGTTTTCGGCTGCCAGGAGAAACCAGAAGCGCCCTCGGAATCGCAGCTGCGGTGTGCATTTTAAGCGCGCAGCCTTTGGACCCCAGCATCAGTCCGGGACTCACCTCGTAGCAGCCTGACAATGCTGAGACAAGCTGCAGCTTGACATCTGTCATTTGACCAGGGTCATTGCAGACAATGATGCCTGCATCTGCCGGATTCTGAGTGATCTGTACACTTGACAACTGACAGGCTGCTTTCAAGTCACCAGTGGCCGAGACAGCCAGATAGGCAACGCAACCTTGAATGCTTCCGAAAAAATCCTTCTTGCTGCAGCCTTTGTCTATAGCATCAGCACATAAACGTCTTTGCTGCCGTTTCACCTCATTAGTTCGCATCTTTTCCATGCATTGCAAATGAGCTTCTTGCAAGTCGTCCGGACACTCTGCTGGAAGCAACGCGTTTTCAGAAAAAGCATGGACAAGTTTTGTGAATGCTTTGCGCTTCTGAAAGGCCAGTTCACGGTCATGTTTTTCAGACCAAAGGGCCGAATCAGCCAGGTGGTCTTCTTCTTCTTCTTTCATTTCCAAATGTCGACAAGCAGACGAGGCCGCAGCAGCCTCTTTTCGTCTCTTCCTTGTAAACGCAGCCTCTGTTTGGAGACCGTCTTCCCCAGTCAAAGTTCGCTTCAAGCCTTTGTCAAGTCGACTGACCCGACCGGAGCTTTCACGAGGCCGTCCAAAGCACGATTGCCACGTCAACTGAGCCAGCCGAAGCAAGTCTGCCAAATCATACTTTGCAACGCCTGAAGACACTTTCAGCACCATTTCCTCCACATGCGGTCGCATGGCAGCACGTCGTGCGTTGCAAACCCAGCTGTTTCTTGAAAATGCCTGCTCCACTCCAGAGCTGGAACCACCATACACAAAGTAACTGACGAGAGCCGAACGGAGGACGCCTGAAGGATGACAGTGACCTGTCCGACTCTCTGCCATTTGCTGCAAAGTCCTTTGCCACGCTTGTCTGTTTGCATTTGCCGTCAAGTCACTTGGCATGTTCGCCCTGGCGCGAGGATACAAGTCAGACCACTGATGCTGAAGAACTTGTGCGTCCAACTTGCAGACTTGCGCAATGCGAGCCAGGTCGGAAGTAGCTTCAAGGCTGCCTGTGTGAAGGTTAAACACCCTGTAAGCTTGACCTAACTCAAAACTTGGAAACTCAGCTTTCAAAGCTTCTGTGGCAAGCCTCACCCAGATTTTCATTCGGGATAAACATCTTTCCTGGATTTCTTTGCTGACACCCGATTCTGAGCCCAAGCACTTGGTAAGAGAACCAGCTTGGAAGACGAGCGGTTGCTGCAGCGTTTGAAGCATGGTGCTTGTGTATCCAAAACGCCGCAAGACTTCTTCGTGAATGAACAGGGCCCTTATCTCTTCCAGATATATTGTAACGTCCAAAGTCATGCAAGCTGGATCCACTTCTTCACTATCCATCTTTCGTGTCAGCTGCAAAGACGAATCTGCTGCATCTGCCAGCATGGCCGCCATGAGTGCTGTTTCAGCATCCAATTTTTGTATCCACAGCTTGGCTTTGTTTCCTACAGCATCTTTTCTTGTGCGGACCAGGTGGAGGCAAGTCCTGATGCAAGCATGTAGAAACAAACATGTTCTGCCAAGAGTCTTGCTGTGACTTTCAAAGCGGTGCTGGGCTGAGCGGAAGTTCACCACTGCGCTTCGAACGGCGTTGTCAGACTCCTCACAAATTTTTTCAAAGACCCTTCGAATTTCTGGGGAATATTGAATCAGTCTTGCTACTGACCCAGGGCCGCCACAAAAAAAGTTCATCGTCTCTTTCAGTGCATCATCTGCATTCCATGGCCGCGACGTGAGCCTTCGACTGCTGTGAGCCTTGTCCCGAATCACGCATCGCAAATTAGGACATAGGACTTGTTGCTGAGGAGTCAAGGCCGTCCGCATGATTTCACCACTGACAAGCTCATCCTGAGCACTGTCAACCGTAATTGTGGTGATCTTTTGGCGCACCTGATTGAACAGCTGCCATTTCACAAACGGTTTTTGCTTGTCGCTGCCACTACCAAACCACCGACCACATGCACGCTTCAGGATGCTTTCTGTAGCCTTTGTTAGATTTAACCCGCCTGTTCCCGCATCCCTTTCTTGACCAAGCATGCCAGACCAAATCTCAAGGTTGTTCGTCACTGCTCTAAAACGGAGAAGGATCCGTCCTTTGCGTTCATCTCGAAAAAGCGCTATCTCAGCAGCCCTTGACAGATGCCTTTGGTCGATGGATTTCATTGCCTCTGCCAAGCAATAAACCATCATTGTTAGCTTCCTTCCTTCCAATGCCACGCCCTTCTTCATTTTCTCTAGGCAGTCTTTGAATTGATCTGGGCTAGGCGCAGCGTCAATGGCAAGATCGCTGGATGGCAGAGAGCCTGCCGTGGCCGATACAGCCACAGACAGATAGTGCGCAACAGCATTGCAATGGTTTTTGCTTTTTGCGTGCTTCATAAAGTTTTCCTTTTGAATGCCAGCTTCTGATGTCACTAAATATTGCGCAAGATTGCCCGTGCAACCTGCTGACCGACAAGCTTTGCAACCGATTCCCCATGGTTCGTCTTGCTCGTCTAGCCATGACCCCAAGCTGACATTAGAAGTGTCTAAAGGAAAGCTACTCTGCCATTTTGCTCCCAATTTCCTCCATTTCCGCCTGGCCCCAACAGCCCCGTCGGCTTCAGCTGTCATTGCCAGGCCTTCAAGGAAAGCCGGAGCAGCTTTGCCTTGAAGATTGGGTGCAAGGGAAGCCGTTACAGCTTCACCTTGAAGGAGCAAGCTAGGTTTCAAGAGCCAAGAGCAAAGGTCAAACGAGGTTTTGAATTATCTTTTTCCTCTTGGAAAATATCTCCATGATCTGGTCCTAAGATTCTTACTCTTAAACATGGCACTATGAAATCAATATGCATTTGCTCAGCTTCTTCAAAGGTGGACAATGTGGATGTGGAATGTGGAACAAGGTTTTTATGAAGGTATAATATTGAAGTTGAGGTGAAGGTACGAAGTAGAATTACGAGAGCAAACGAGAAATGAAAATAAGTCTAAAAGCAACAAACGAGAGGAAAAAACAAACAATAAAAATCACCAAAAAAAAATCCAAAAAAGAATTTTTCAATTCCGCTAAGCAAAGCCAAGTCTTCTGAGGAGTCTGAATCGGAAGACGAAGATATGAAGGGACGCATCAAGAAGCTGAGGGCCGAATTGAAGAAGGCCGAGGATGACGCTGCTGAACGCCGAAAGGGTAAGAAGAAGTCAAGGCCCGATCGGGGTTTGGCTGCGGGATCCGGCAAAGACAAGAAGAAGAGGGAGCCTCGAACCAGGGAGGTGGACCGTGTTTGTCACCGGGGGCGGTCTCCTAGAGACCAGTCGCCCGAGGGAGAGCAACGCAAGAAGCGAAAGAAGCGGCGACGCCACAAGAGTAGGTCCAAAGAGCGTGGACGCCGAGCAAGTTCGCCAGCCAAGCAGGGAAGGACTGATCACCCGGAAGAATCCGGAGACTATGAGGATGCAAGTCCACAGGAACTTTTCCACTCTAAACGGGGGGTGGACGTGAAGATCAAGGAGTCTGAGCAAGACAGAGGGCCTTTTGGTGGAGGACCTCCAGTCAAGTTCAAGGAGAAGGACGACACGGGTTCATCTTCTTCGGAGTCGTCTTTTCGGAAAGGCCCTTCCTCCACCGCGAAGAGCAGCCAGCAGCGGTTGTTGGCTTACTCCAACAGACACCCAGGAAGACTGGCATCAAGGATGCTCCTCAAGATGGAGCAGGCCACAGCCAGGGGGGTGGAAGGGCCGAATCATGCAGAAGGAAACCGCACGCCGGCAGTAGCAATGAACCACGTGTTAACCATCCTGCTGCCGAGCTTAGGTCAGAAGGCAGCGCTCCGGTCCACGCGGGAGCTGAAAACGCTTGGATCCATCTTGGACCTTCTAGCGAGAGGAGCGCCTTCGAAAGCAGCCGATGTGGTGGCCCAAAGGATCAAGGCGGTGGAGAGGGCCAGCCACGAATCCCATTGGGGGTCAGCCCAGTTTTTGGAGCTCCTACCGCCGGAAAACTCCATGCTCCTCGACAAGGACGAAGAGATGTTCGTCGCGAAGGAGTATCTCCTGGAGCAGAAGCTGCGGGACTACGACCGCCGAGGAGGGCAGCGTCGAGAAGTCGCAGAAGGCAAAGGAAAGTCCAAGGGGGCCAAGGGCAAGACCAAGGATCGCGACAAGGGCGACCGAGGCACCTGGGACAAGACGGAAAAACCAAACAAGAAGCCGGAGAGCAAATGAAAGAGGAGGTACCAGCTGGGTCACCTGCCAAGTCTGGCAGTGCAATGCACACAGTCGACGAGTGGGGCGGTCCACTCCGTGACTTTTTGGAGGAACCCCGGGCGCCTGCACAGTTTATGCACTGGATGCGTGACTTGGTGCCTGAGTTGGATTCCCCCTTTTCGAAGTTTGTGGCGTTGTCAGCTGAGCTTGAAAGGGACTTACCGGCTGAGGGAACTCCGTTGGCCGCGGAGCCGTCCAATCTTTTTCCTGTACGTATTTCTCTCTGTCGAAAGTTTCTACGTGGCCGTGACGAAGCTCTGGTGAGTTGGGTCATGACCTTGGTGGAGGTGTTGAACTACCATGCGATGTCAGGAAAGGCGCAACTGGGTCCACCCATGGTCACCCGTCTGTTTGAGGCGGTGAAACGCTTTGAAGCGAAGGGAGGCAAGATGGCGCCTTTCAAGGCATGTCGTGAGGCGATCGGATGTGTGCGGTTCGACTACAGTGGAGAGCCCGTCCAGTACATCGAGAATCTCATCGCAGAGAAGGTGATTGCTTGTTGGCCGCGCCCTGAGGAGGCGGCAGTGCAAGATGCTGTGAAGTTTGTGCCGCCTGAGGTTAGAGAGTGGCTGGAGGATCCGGCCTCGTGCCTCCTATACCCCAGGCAGCCTGGCCTGAAAAGCCACCGACCAGTCGAGTTCGGGCCGACGACAAGGAGTGGGAAGCTATTGTCCGTGCTGGAGTTGAACGTGGCATGATGGAACAGGTGCCCGCAGACCGCCTGTTCAGGGATCACAACGGGGTACCCATCCTGAATGGTGCCGGGGCCGTGAAGAAGGTCAAGGTCATTGGAGGTGAGTCCAAGTCCTTGCAACAGTTCATCAGTGTCTTGGTCCCGTCGAACACCTACCAGGTCCACATGCCAGGACATGATGAGCATCTACCTTATTTGGGCCAGATGGCATTAATGCTCGAGATTGACGAAGACGAGGAGGTGCGCATCGACAGCGAAGATCTAACGTCTTGCTTCAACTTGTTCAGATTACCCCAGCAATGGGTGGGCTTCAATGCATTTGCCAAGCAGGTGAGCGCGGCCGTCTTTGGGGGGCCAGCCTCTGAGATGGCCTATGTTGGAATGCGCGTGGTGCCCATGGGATGGATCAACTCGGTATAGCATTGATGCAGACGGTGGTCCGCTCTTTGGTGTTTGGCTTGAGCGAGGTGCCGGAGACATCAGAAGTCTCGAAGCTGAAGTGGTTCCCTGACGATGACTCAGTGTCAGTGGTGTACCTCGATAGCTACGACGAGGTGCGGAAGGTAAGTGCTGGCTATCGCGAAGTCTTGCGGGGACAGCCTTCACACCGGCACCAACGTTTTGTCAACACTTGCAATGAGTTGGAACTCCCGCTCAACCAGGGCAAGAGACTGGTTGGGGCGGTGCACGGCAGTCTTCAAGGAGGTGACATCGATGGTGAGACAGGGACGTTCGAAGCCGCCCACGACAAGAAGGTCGACATCATGGGCATTGGTGCAGCCTTGCTGGGGGTTGGAGCGGCAACCGAATTCGAGCTGAGGCACTTCGTGGGCAAGGCCATCTTTGCTATGGCATTCAGAAGGCCTGCAATGTCATTCCTAGAGAAGGTCTTTGTCGACATGGGCAGGTCTCAGAAAGGCAGAGTCACCCTCTCCAGAGCAACCTTGGATGAGGTGTACATCACAATGGCCGTGATGCCCATCTTGGTCATGAACCTTCGGGCGGTGTTTGATGCCGAAGTGACAATCACAGATGCCAGCACAACTGGCGGCGGTGGAGGAGTCGCCAACTGTTTCAAGAGGCCGCCCGACACCATTGTCCATGACAGTGGCAAGTGTTTGGAGTGCAGTCAGGAATTAGAGCGGCCTAGGGTTTACCCCTGTCCGACAGGGTGTGGGGCAGAGCTGTGCAGTCTGGGCTGCATTGAGGCTCATCGCGATGGCGACTGCAAGCGGTGGCGGTATGTGATGCCCAAGTTCGGTGAGCGCTTCTCTGGGCCAAACGCCCCTCTATCTCATGCCGTCGCCAGAGAAGGAGGGATCGAGGTGCAGCCACCCTATGACCTCCTGAGGGGAGATGACTTCCACAGCCAAGAAGGAAAAGAAAAGCTTACCTCCTTGGAGAGTGATCCAGCCTTGGCAGCTGAACATTGGGCTCCGGAATGCAAGTTGTTCTCGAAGGCAAGGGGCCGCCCCGTGACCCTGCCAAGCGGGGAGCGCATCGCAGGCCCACAGCCGGTCAGAGACGCCCACCATGTGATGGGATTTCCTTGGGTGTCGCAGCAGATGAAGATTCAGCTGCGGCGCCCCAACAACATGGCACTCAGAGGCCTTCGCCGGGGAGCAAGCACCTTTGGGGCCAGGCGGTATCTGTCAGTTGAACACCCCTTCAACAGCTGGCTTTGGTATTTTTCGCTTGCCGAAGAACTTGCCCAGGGAGAGTTCGAGTACGCAGTTGGCTCAAACTGTTGTTGGGGCGGTGATAGAGAGAAATGGTACGCACTGCTCAACAATTCACCCTGTATTCAGGAGGAGCTGCACCGGCCCGAATGCCCAGGCCACGATGGTCTGAAGGGGTATGGAGCCACCCGCAACCAGGACGGCTCGTTGCATTTTGCAACAGAAGAAGAGGCCGAGTACAAGGATGCCTGGTGCGCCGCCTACGCAAGAGGCTTGAGACGCCAGCTGTCTGACTGGTGCAGCCGTGGATTGCTTGATGGCAGGTGCAAGACCATCCAGAAGGAGTTGGAAAAGTCAACAGACAGGTTGGCAAATCCGGTGGCCGCCAACATGGTCGCCAACGAGATCACCGACCTGGAACAAGACATGCTACCAGGCCACGAGAGCATTCACCTGCGCCAGATGGCGCGGCGCCTCAGCATCAGAGGGACAGATCTCAGGCTCCTGCTGGGGGATGACAACGTAGAGGTGCCTTACCCGGCCTACCGTTGGTACTGGCGCGAAGTTTTGAGCTATGCATGGAAAGAGGAGAGAAACATCAACGAGGGAGAGGTGGCGGCATTCAATGTGATGCTGAAGCGAAGGTCCAAGGATCCGGCGAAGCACGAGCTGCGCTACCTGGCTGTGGTGGATAGCCTAGTTACGCGTGGTGCTGTCAGCAAGGGCAGGAGCCCTTCGCGGGCACTCAACAGATTGCTGAAGCAAACAGCAGCATACGTGCTTGGGTCGGACCAATATCCTCTGACAGCCTGGACGATTTCTCGGTGGAACTTTGCGGATGGCGCTTCGCGCCGCAGACGACCCCAAGATGCCTAGTCACCTGCGGTTTGCAGGGCTTCAGAGGAGGACCTTGAGGGCCTATCGCTTAGCAGTGGACCGCTTCCTCACCTATGTTCGAATTCATTCTCTCCCTCTTCGACGGCAGGCCGACGTGGACTACGCCGTCAGCGAATTCATCAATGCCATGTATCAGGAAGGTGACAGCTTAGCTCAAGCAGGTCACTTGTTGTCGGGCTTGAAGCGATTTTGCCCGGGAATGAGGCTGACGTTACCGACGGCCAGTCAGTACTTTCGTAACTGGCAGAGAGTTCACCGCCCAGTGCGTGCGATACCCATTAGCTGGGACCTTTTACAGGCAATGAGTGGCATGTGTTTCACCTTAGGCTACCACCGCGTCGCCTTGCTGCTCTACGTGGGCTTTTTCTGTTTCTTGAGGACGTCTGAAATGATGTCCCTGCAGTGCATGCATTTGATCCCGGATCGCAGATCGTCTCGATTGACGGTGATTATTCCTTTTGCAAAAACATCTGCGGGGAATCCTCAGGTTTTGGTCTTTTCAGACCCCCGTGTGCATTCTCTTGCGCTCACCGTGCTGCATGCACGTGAAACACAGGACTTCCTCTGGCCCTCTTCCCCAACACAATTCCGTCAATTTTGGATTCGGCTTATTGAAGCCTGTGGCTTTTCTTCTAAAGATTACAGCCCCTACGGAATTCGAAGAGGTGGTGCCACCTGGTACTTTTTAGCAACCTCCTCTATGGATGGAACGTCGCAACGAGGACGTTGGTCCTGCAGCAAAACGGCCAGAATGTACATTGATGAGGGCACGTTGGCCCTGGCACGCTTCCTATGGTCAAATGATCAGAAGAGGCGAGTCAGGAAATGGGCTCTGAAAGGAGCGAAGTTGTGCGACCGTCTCCGACAGAACAAAAGCCTTGGGAGCGAGCATGGGAGTTTTTAAGTTTTTTCGGTTGTTTTTAAGGGGGGTTCTCCCTTTCCCGGCTTCCCTTTGGCTTTAACTTGGAAATGGGAGGTTTATTGAACCTGCCAGGTTTGTCTGCCTCTCAAGGCTTGCTTTGCCTTGATCGAAGGTTTTCTTACTCAGCCCTTTACCACAAATAATTTGTGTGTTTGGTTGATGAAAGGTGGAATTCAAACAATTTCCATAGTGTATTTAGATTGTAAATAGAGGTGACGACCTCCCATTTGTAGCAACCTGAGTTTCCTCAGCCTGAAAATCAGAGTTCTTTGCATGTTAATACCTTGAGTGGGTTGAACGTAGTGATTGACACGATGATTTAACATGCCGTGCTCTGTAGCCTTTCCTCTCACCCCCACCTTCCCCCTTGTCACCGCCTTGCTAATCAGGCGCGTTTTTTCTGGGGGTCACCTTGGGAGGTTTATTGAACCTGCCAGGTTTGTCTGCCTCTTAAGGCTTGCTTTGCCTTGATCGAAGGTTTTCTTACTCAGCCCTTTACCACAAATAATTTGTGTGTTTGGTTGATGAAAGGTGGAATTCAAACAATTTCCATATTGTATTTAGATTGTAAATAGAGGTGACGACCTCCCATTTGTAGCAACCTGAGTTTCCTCAGCCTGAAAATCAGAGTTCTTTGCATGTTAAATAAATATATATATATATATATATTTAATTTATACAATATATATATATATACACGGTGTATATATATATATACATACACACACACTGATATATATATATATACAAAGTATAGTATCATATAGGGTAGTTCTATGCACCAGCTACTACAACTATACCTTGATTTTCTGAAGATGAGTTTTTTCTTTATGTTCCCAATGGGAAATCCACTATCCACTACTTAAGGTATCTATCAGGAACATGTTTTTTTGTTGCTGGGGAAGGTTCTTAAGCAAATCCAAAGAACCATTTGTACATCATCCAATTTTTAGGGGCATACCCAATAATAAACCCAATAAATCCTAATAATCTCCAACAATATGATTGGGTTTACATGATTTTACCATGGGTTTACCACATAGCTGTGCCCTCCAGGTGGTCATTCAGATGCTCTCCCGAACGGCGGTAGGGATGCGACTCTTCCGGCCCTCGGTGGGCAAGAGTCTCGGTGAAATTCCGCAGATTTCGAGCACTTAAATCATGGGTACTTCATACAAAACATGGTTCGTTTTGTTGGGTACTTCATACAAATTACTTTACTTCGTGTGATCCCCACCATGACATTTATACATGTTCTTACTGGCAAATCTTCTGGCATTCTATCTGACATATCTTCTGACATTCTATTGGGCATTCTATCTGGCATATCTTCTGGCATATCTTCTGGCATTCTTCTGGCAAATCTTCTGGCATTCTATCTGGCATATCTTCTGGCATTCTATCTGGCATATCTTCTGGCATTCAATCTGGCATTCTATCTGGCATATCTTCTGGCATATATTCTGACATATCTTCTGGCATTCTATCTGACATATCTTCTGGCATATATTCTGACATATCTTCTGGCATATCTTCTTCTGGCATATCTTCTGACATATCTTCTGGCATATCTATCTGGCATATCTTCTGGCATATTTTCTGGCATTCTATCTGGCAAATCTTCTTGCATTCTATCTGGCATTCTATCTGGCATATCTTCTGGCATATTATCTGGCATTCTATCTGGCATATCTTCTGGCATATATTCTGACATATCTTCTGGCATTCTATCTGGCATATCTTCTGGCATTCTATCT